TTTTTTTTTTTTTTTTTTTTTTTTTTTTTGTATTGGACCCAATCCAAAAAATCCTTACAAAGTTCTTAATCTATCTATAGAAATACAAAACTCTCCTTAAAATGGAGTTTCATCTGAATAAGGGCTTCAAGATTTGGCTTATTGTAATTTGTTCTTTTTAGCATAATTGCATTTCAAGTTATGAGCTGGATTAATCTAATAGCTGAAGTTGGACAGGTTGGCATCTGTACATTTAGAATTTATGGAAGCTGTCCAGCTATGTGAACTGGCTCTTTAGATGAATGTTATCTTCAGATATCTGTAATGAGGGCTGTTCATACTGTAGTACTAGAGGCTGTAGGGTACAAAAGTCTTCAGTCTGCTGAGAGCTAGCGATTTGGCTGGGACTGTTCTGTTTGCGGTATGTAAGGACATTTTTCCCCCCCTCAGGATTTAGAGTTCAGCTGGAATCTTTCATAACGGAGTGAAGCTAGAAACTTGACAGATGCCTGTGCCGCCACCGCCTCCTCCCCCTCCGCCACCACCTCTACCAGCTTCTGGAGGACCACCCCCACCACCTCCACCATTGCGATCTTCATTACCTCTGGTAAGATCTGCTTTTCATTTTGATTAGTGTAGCAGGGTAAATGTTTTCTGATTATTTTTCAGATTTATTTCAGATTATTGTGATAATAGCAGGGGCAAAGAACATAAGAACGGCCATACTGGGTCAGACCAAAGGTCCATCCAGCCCAGTATCCTGTCTACCGACAGTGGCCAATGCCAGGTGTCCCAGAGGGAGTGAACCTAACAGGTAATGATCAAGTGATCTCTCTCCTGCCATCCATCTCCACCCTCTGACAAACAGAGGCTAGAGACACCATTCTTTATCCATCCTGACTAATAGCCATTAATGGATTTAACCTCCATGAATTTATCTAGTTCTCTTTTAAACCCTGTTATAGTCCTAGCCTTCACAACCTCCTCAGGCAAGGAGTTCCACAGATTGACAGTGTGCTGTGTGAAGAAGAACTTCCTTTTATTTGTTTTAAACCTGCTGCTTATTAATTTCATTTGGTGGCCCCTAGTTCTTATATTATGGGAACAAGTAAATAACTTTTCCTTATTCACTTTCTCCACACCACTCATGATTTTATATACCTCTATCATATCCCCCCTTAGTCTCCTCTTTTCCAAGCTGAAAAGTCCTAGTCTCTTTAATCTCTCCTCATATGGGGCCCGTTCCAAACCCCTAATCATTTTAGTTGCCCTTTTCTGAACTTTTTTTAATGCCAGTATATCTTTTTTTGAGATGAGGACACCACATCTGTATGCAGTATTCAAGATGTGGGCGTTCCATGGATTTATATAAGGGCAATAAAATATTCTCCGTCTTATTCTCTATGCCTGCAATGTATTTTGGATCAGGTGTTTGGAAGAAAAACCGAGGCCAGATGTGTGTGTGTGTGTGTGTGTGTGTGTGCGCATGCAAATTTAGCACTCATAAGTACTCCCCAAAACACAGAGAGCTTGATTTTAGTTTGAAAATGTGCACGTGGGAAGTGTTGATTTCTTCTTTCATTTCTAATAGCTTGTATTAAGGATTGTAGTGTTTTATCCTTAGGTGTTTTCCTTCCTGGGGATCCACCACATGATGCTTTTATCATGTTCACAGGTACAGCTACTGTATGTAACAGATCACCTGGTTGCATGTCACCAACCAGTGCATGTGCCCTTGCAGCGAGCGGCTGATGCCCTGGCTGGAATTCCAGGTTCTTATTGTACTTTGGTTATGCTGATCCTTGGGAATGTTTCTTCAGGCCCTTTTTTGTGTGTTGCAATCACTTGTTTATGAGGTGTTTCAGCCTTGAAGTTATGACTGTAGAGAAAATAATGAATAGCCATATTCAAGGCCAAGCATCTCTGATTTCCTCGCACACTTTCTCCGCCACGGCTCTACTCCTTGCAGCACGCATTAGTTTTCTATCTCTGTAGAAATAAGTGTCCAACTCTTTCAAAAATAGAGCTTGATTTCTTTTATGCCTTCTGGTGCTGATATAAATACATACTTCAGACCCTTGAACTTCTCTTTCCTGCTCTGACATCCATGCCCATTTTGTGAAGGAGTCTATCAGTTTTATTTGATTACATTCCAACTTTGTCCTCTCCTAGGGAGAAATTACCTTGCACCTTCTTTATTTGCCATTCCAAGTTTTAAGGCGTTCACAAACTCAACCGTCCCGCAAAACTATCAAAAACATGTAAGGTGGTGAAGGGGGAAGGGAAGAGAATAGTGCTTGGGCTGAAAACATACAGGTGGAGGAATTCTGGTTTCTCTGGTTTAATTTTGATTTTCAGGCATATTGACTAGAGTTTTCCTGATGTTTGTCTCACAGATCCAGTGATACACCTAAATAGGTGGCCTGATTTTCAGAGCAGCTTAACGCCTGCAACTGCTATAGAAGTCAATAGAAGCTGCAGGTGCTGTTCTCTTAACATTAGCCACCTATATTTAGGCACCTAACTTTAGGCATCCAGTTTGAACATTTTGGCCATGATATACAAAGGGACAGGTCCTCAGCTATGACCCAAGTGTAGGAGTCCCAAGTGTAGGAAGTGTGCATATGTGTGCAAAAGTGGCTTAAAGCTCAACATTGCACTCCCAGATCCTGTTACAGCCAGTTTCCCAGCACAGAGTTAGTGCTGTCGTCAGGCTATTCTACCTTACACCAGCTATAAATGGCCCCAGTGGCTGAGAACCCAGCCAAAGACCAGCATAACAAAGGGGTGTCCTGGCCATGCCACTTTTTCCTGGTATACCATCAGCAGGAAGGGGTTGTGGGATAAGAGCCTCTAGAGCAGTTCCATGTAAGTTCATTCCTGCACTGGGATGATCCTCTGACTGGTTATACTGGTTTTAGGGCCAGTTTACGCTGGTGGCACAGTGGAAAGTGGCCACATCACACTTTAGAATCTGGCCAAAATGTCAACCACTTCAGTTACGAGATCACCAGTCTAGACCAGTTGGAGGCAACTCTGTGGCAGGTTTTTTCCTTAGGGACTAGATGGCACCTTAACGATCCAACATTCGCAGCAATCTACCTCAGAGTTATTCCTCTCTAGAACTAAACATGTTCTTCTCTGGCAGACTGGTAACTGGCCTAATACTTCTTTGGTGTAAATATCTCTCCCTCCCTCCCCCACTTCCTGTGTTAGTTGCAAATCCCTTCTGGAAGACTGTGTAGCAGAGGCCCAACTAAATGTGTTGCTACTGTTTTCTGCAGTAGGTCTGGTTACTGCCTCCCATTACTTGTCACACATGGCACTATATCTGTTGGGGGAAAATGGAAATATCTCAGACATAAGGAGCTTTTAGAATATGCAGCAGCTGGCTTCAGTCAGTTCATACTCTGCCTCCAAAGGGGTTACGTTTTACCCTGAATTTTGCTGTCCCTCTATTGCCAGAGAATGCTGACATCTTCCCATCATTTCATTTTAATGAATTACAAAATGTATTTCTAATTTATAAAGCATACTCAGTACATTACCCTGTCAGCTGGAATTTGGAAAATCTTCCAGCACAAGTGCATAATTTAAAGGGAGTAAATGGATCCTGCATAAAGAATTATTAGGACAATTCTGCCAAATGTTATTCTCGCATAACAGTGAAAGGAATCTTCTCTGCTAAAGTTGAATCAGAGGGAAGACCATCTTTAAGAGGTCCTCAGTGTCCAGTTAGTTCTACAGAAGCAAAATGCTGACATAGGTCAAAGCCCTATTACAACTGTGGATCTGGCTAAAGGGAATCCATAACAAGTAGCTACAGACCCTAGATTCTTTTGCTAGGAAGATATTGTCTAGAATTTGGCATCTGTATCTTACAGCTGCTAAAACTGCCCAGCTGTTGCTACAGCTGCTGAATTTACTGCTGGAGAATGGAAATATAAAAATGATAGGCAGTAATATAAAAATACCATTGAAACAAGCTTTGCCTAGTCAATGTACACAGTTGAGTCTACACACACACACACGTAAGTAAAGGGGTAATTTTTATACCGATTTAGTTAAACCAGCACAAGTTTTGTATGTGGAAAGACATAAGCCCGGTTTAAACTGATACAAGAGTCTCCACACACAAGTGTTGCATCAATTTAATTAAACTGATTTAAGTTAAACTGGTACAACTTCTGTGTGTAGACAAGCCACAAGGGCTGCATTTAGTATTTGAGTACCCTGCATTTTCAAGCATGCAATTATAGGGGCTATGAAATTATATTATTTTTAATAGTCCTGGATACTCATACATGGACCTCTGCAGTTTTCATCTTTGCTGTCACTAAGGGGAGCTTGTCAGGTTGGCCTTCAGAATAAGGGGGAAAGCTGTATGATGGATATTTTATGAAAAAAATTATCCTGAAAGATCTCGTATCTTGTGTGGGAGCTTATCTTGGTATTTTATCTAGAAGATAGAACAGCTTTTATTTGATGATCACATAACACTTATGAAATGTTGCTATGCAAGTGTGATCTGGCATCTGGCTTTGCTGCTAGTTAATTCAGGTGAACCTGCAGAGAGTGAGTCCTTGCGCTTACACAGATCAGATGACATTTGTTAAAGAAGAACCAGTCAATTACTTCCCACTTTGTTTTTGTTATTGTGACAGAACGAAGTAGCTGATTCAGGCCAGGCGAAGTCTAACAAAGGGAAAAGAAGTATGCTGAAGAATTAAGGGGGCAAAGAGTTGAGGCTGGTAGAGTAGGAGAGTGTTGATGTAAGGAGAGTGGGAACAAGATGAGATTGAACACAAGGAAAGAGAGTAAGAACAGAGAGGAGGACTGAGATGGAACTAAGTTTTAAGAAAAAAATGTAAGGAAAACAGCTGAAACAGAGCAGGGTTGTTGGGTTCAGTTTGGTGGAGCGTCTCATTTCTACTTTCCAGCAGTCTCCTTTCTTTTTTTCTGTCTCCCTTTGGCTTTGCCATTGATGGATTGAGTTGTGGCCCTTCAGTTTGTATCTGTCAGGCTTTTTGACCCTTGTGCCACACCTGCCTTATTATGTTCTTATTTGTGTGACATAGTCAAGAAGTACTTGCATATGCAACGTGGTTAGAATAATCATGGATCAAGATCACGCTGCACCAATTTTATTAAATGTCACCAATACTTTGGAGTATATAGGGTTACCCTGGCCACTTGAGATGTTAAGAACTTCCACTCCCCAGGGTAAGTGAAATAGTTCTTACATTACCTACTTGCCTGCATATTTTATCAAGTTCTCATCTATAAGTCTGGATCCCTTGTTAAGCCACAATCCTCAGTGATGTTGCATCTTTTCCTTTCTCCAAACCCCAAACTGCTGTTTGCTCTTGAGTCCTTTGCAATTTTAATGCCTTCCTTGAGTCAGAAGAAAATTAGTTTGGTTTATACTGGTTTTTAAATCTCTTGAGCTTGGAGATATTCTGATATGAATGCTTTAATTATAGAACTGTGTTCTACTTATTTCATAGCTGACCTGCTTTTTTTTTCCATTTCCTTGTAATTCTATCATACAAGCAGTCACAAAAAATGTTGAAATGATACAAAGATGGAATTCAAGGCATGTTAGGA